GAAATAACGTACATGAGTGCTCTCCAATATCTTTACTGGACACAATATTTAAATATTCACACCAGTTGGCACTTGGCAATGAGTGGAGACGCCATCAGAATTGTATTGACACGTGTAAAACAATGTAGACCTCGAGCTGTTACAATGTTGTACATTAAATTTGTATATTTCACAACATGCCTTTTTTCGAGCCTTGAACATTTATCTAAATTTAAAGGTCCATTCTGTAATACAGCTATTAGACCTGTTATACTTTGTGGTCCTGAGTGTTGGATTGTTAAATAAATTTAGAGGATGGAAAACTTAGGGAAGGGAACTTGTCTTGCATAAATCCAAAGAGGCTCCAATTCATATGAAATGAAGTGATTTTAGTAGAACAAGGAGGTGGAAACCAAAACTACCATGGTATGTTGTGTTTGCTAAGGTTCTAGGTGGATTTTTTATTTTTCATTTTATCTTCATATAGATCTAGCAATAAATTAAATGATGTTGCAAAAAAATATTCAAGTAGCCAACCAATTTTTTTGGGAATAAGGCTTAGTGTGTTGTTGCTGGTATTGTAGAAACATTCACCTAAATAGACCAAATACATAAATGATGTATGGTGGGTTTAGGTTTAGGAAACTTGTGTAGTGAAATTTGATAAATAAACCGTGTTGTGCATATCGAAAGTAATAGTCAATTAGTCACCTTGAGTGTTGGAAGAAACAGAGCCCCAAGCCTCAAAGCCATTCAATAGTCACTTTTTTTGAAATTGCAAGTTTGAGGAGACAAATCAATAGTTTTAATGTTTTTAGATGAGATGGTCATTTAAGCTTCTAGACAGATTTTCCAAGAAGTTGGTGATTTAATAAAGAAACGTCATCCCATGTGTATACAAATGGAGGCAAAAAGTCTAACATTGTAAAGAAGGAAGATGTCGAAAAATTTCATGTTCTTAGTTAATGAATAAGACAGGACAAATTAGCAAGCCAAGAATAATGAGAAAGGAAATTAATCAGTTGAAATATCTAAGATATTTCTGAAATTGCTCAGAAAAGAAATGTCCAAATATTGAAGGATACCCATAAATGGAATGATTTATTTTGGGGTACTTTCTTAGTAACAGCCGGAAATCTTAAGAATAATAATTTAGTTGAGTTTATTTTCTGAGAATTTTTCTAAAACTGGCTACTTTTCTGGCCTTCTGAGGCGATTGATTCTCTTTTTTTCCCTCTTGAATGTGCTATTTATCTTTGTACAGCTTCTATTACCTCAATTCTTCATCTAAAATTCAGTTTATCGAACCTATATTCAAAACCAAAAAATAAAACATACACTATGAAGGCTATCGCTGTCACATAAGTAAAATAAGCTACCAAAACAACCAGTGTTCTTAGAACAGAAAAAAGGGTTGTTCGCAAAAAGAAAAAGAGAATTCGACATACTAGTTATTGTATCCCGTATGGGGCCATTATTTTTAGGATTTCTGACTGTAAACACAGCCTAATCACTCATCATTTCTAGTGAAACTCACCTAATTACTCCAAAGTCTTGGATCTGGGTTACTGATATATATTGAACACATACACAATATTTACGAGGGCCAAACACGCATAAGGACAGCATGGCATGTCTCCTTCTTCAAGATCTAACAGTTTTACTTTTTTGCACTATTTTCATGATTAAATTCCAATCATTGAACCTAAAAATTTAAGAAAATCCCTTGGCAAGTCTATGCAAAAAGAATGAAAAATAGAGATCAGAGTATGGTGCAATCTGTAATAACTATGAACTAATTATGCATAACCATAACCCCAATTATGCCTATTTTTCTTTGCACGTCTTCTTTGAAGGTAATTAAAAATATCTGCAAACACTCAATGCCCTTGGAGAAATATCAAATTTTGTACATACATAATCCTTTATAATTAATCAAGATAAGTGGTCTTTACTAACATGCAAATAACAGTCCAAAACAAGCTCACAAAACCACCAAATTAAGGAAAAGCTACAAACTTTTTAGTAGTTTCCAGAAGTCTATATGAATCTAAATGGAATTAAACAGCCAAATTAATTAGGCAGAAGAAAAATAAGCAAAAGGGTTAAAATTTTCACCTTGTCTCTCTTTCCAGTTGTTCGAACTCCAATTTTAATTTTCCAGCCTGCTGGCAGCCAATTTGGGCGGTCACTCATTTCATCAAACTCTCCGAAATTAAGTTTACAGTTTCTATTTAAGGAAAAAAAACCCAGTTCAGGAAAATACAAAAACATGCATCCCCTTTTAAAGTCTCGAATTTTCCCCACTCCCTCTAGATAGAAAAAGAAGAGTAAAGACTTAAGGAGAAGTAATGGGGTGGTGTAAAAGTGTTGGGAGAATCGGACAAAATGCATTCACAGCCACGTGTTGCCAAACTTTCAGCATTGCCGTTCGAGAAAAAAATTGAATAAAAGAAAAAGTGGCCGTGATATGATTGTGTACAATCTAGGGTTGAATTGAATAGTACATTCAAGAATGAATAAATGCATTTTCTTGAATCTGTCTAACTTGCTTGGCTTCATCTTTTTGGTTGATTTTCGTTCGTTACTGGGTTTTATTTCATTTGACCAGATCCAGCATATGACATGCATTGGGTCTGGGAATGGTACAAACAACTAAACCTCAGAAAGTAAGGAAGAAAAACGACAATACCCTAATTTCTTCATCGTTGTGTCGCCTGTTGTTCAAGAAAGTAGATTATTGCTTTTGTGGGTTCAAGTTTAGTGAAAAAATTTCACCTTGGAAAGAAGCTTCAAACCCAATTTCCATGGGAACATAGGTAACGATGTTTTCCTAGAATTTCGTTATTGGGTCCACGATAAGATGCCATTTTAGATAATATATATTTGTGGGATGAGTTTCAGCGCCCGTTAATGGATCGTAGTATATAACAATGTTACACATATAGAATTTTTTTACAAATGAAATTTGGCTGTCATTGGAAGTTGGGACAAAAAAGAAAAAGAGAGAGGTCCAACCCAGTTCATCAAGGCTCCAATCCTAAACAGCAAAAAAAGTGCTTTACCATTTTGCTTAATTCTAAAGAAATTTGTTTGTAACAGTGGCGCATTCTGGATAAGACGTATTAGAATGTGGAAGAGCATATCCTAATTTATTTGGATTAATCCATTTGTAAACTCATTTTTTACGCGTCTGTCAATATTGCGTTTTAATCAACAAATAATTGGATAAAAAACTATTTTTGTAATTGTCTAATTGGATAATGCTATACGGCAAAGGATAAATAATGATGTATACTAAGATGTACACCAAGCATGATTAAATTTATTTTGGTCTACTGTGATCGCTAAGAATTTGTTTTAAACTTTTGTATAAATGTAGAAATTAGCTCCGAATTAAGAATAAACATTCTTTTTAGTTTTTTTGCTCTCGATTTTAGACATCAGTATAAGCTACCTGAGTAGATGTAAAAATACATAATATACCGCTTGCTCCAAAATGAATGAAAAATTATATGCTCATAGATTTCTATACAAAATTATTGAATTTGAATGAGGTGCATGAGCAACATATGGAAATAAATAAACTGGTTCATTAGAGAACCAGAGGGATGGAACCACCAATTTCATCAATCACTTAGGAAATCAACCCCGGGAACAGATATCGATCGAGCATAGTTTGAAGTCGGCCAGTTAAGTTTGGTCATATATTCATCGTATACAGCCAAGTGGAGATCAATAATCATGTCTCGAATTCATTGTTCTGGTGGCGTAGATTTAATTTATTGTAGGTGGTGCTAGGAGTATGCGTAATAAGTATGATTAAGCTTGTCAAGCGTGCAAGAAATACAACTGACGACGGACATAATCAAACAAGAATCGAAACTACAGAAGAAGGAGATATGGCAAACGACTAATGCAGTCAATCAAAACTAGAATTATAAAAGAAGATAAAGTAGGAGAGAAGAAGATGGGAGAAAGAAAGCGGAGAGCAATCAGAAACACGGACGGATAGCAGAAAGATCGAAGCACTTGAATATGTCCAATAGCTACTTTTATGGCAAACAACCTGCTTCTAACGAATATTTGTACTGTTTACCTCGAAAATGAAGGAATTCTGGTAGGACCAAGATGAATAGATAAAATTTTCTTGTTAGTGTTTAGCAAAAGATATATGTATGATATAGTTCGAGAAAGACTCAACTCTCAGCACTTCATGGCTATGCCCTCCTTGGGGTAATAACCTTGGATTGATAAGCTGATGCAATACCCCAAAATCGATTTCCACACACTTCATAAAGGATCAAAAGTACTTCAAAAAGAACCTCGTATGGCATTCACTCCTGAAAAATACATATCCTATTTAAAAAAATCTCCACATGACCTGTATAAAAAAACAAAATGTTTTTATGAATAAATTTGACATCGAGTACATGAATTTTTTTTCACCACGAACCGTGTGATGACCAAAAAAATAAAAATAAATAAATAATAATAATAAAAAACTTCTACATCTCCAGATTTTTCAGTTGTGCAGTGGATTTGGTCCAGAAGGGACAAGCCGTCGGGATACGGTATGCACTCTCTTGCCCTTGTTTTCCTTCAATTCTGCATAGTGAGGAATTGTGTTGAAATACCTCAAGAAAGTGGAACAGAATCTCTCTCTTATTCTTTGTTCATTTTCCTCATTTGCTGCACTTTTTATGTGCCTACAACTGGATATATGTATCTGTGCTAAAAGGATTATGAACAGGATAGACAAGCATGAAGCAGACTGGATTGTCATATCTAACTGGATTACAATAGAGAAGTGGAAAATAAGTTTTGAAAGATAGAAAATAAGTTGTTGTTTTTTTTTTATGTAAGGAATGATTTTTGTTAACTCCATTTATAGTGAAAGATAGCCCAAAGTCAAACACAAGCTAACGACTACCTTGTATGATAACATTTCAAGAAAATTGTCGAAGTCAAATGTCATTTACATAAACAAAAGTTGACCTTTAATTTTCTATTATAATTATTTCATAGTATGGATGTAATGTCAATTAGGATATTAAGATAAATATATAGTTTAATAAGATTAAAAATAAGAATATATAGTAATAAGGAAGTGTGACATTGAGTAAGATGTACTAAAGCAAGAATGAAATAAGTAGTAAGTATTGAGTTTAAGATACTCTGTCTTAAAAAATCAATATTGATAAGAGAAGTAATCCTTATTCAAGTGATAATAAATCTTTACCCTTGCATGCTTCGCAAGATAGTAGTTTTAAGAACATCAATCGTAGAATCTGATAATTTGTTTGAACTGGAGATATATCAAATTGTTTGTTTCAAGCTTATCGAGCTCTGATTTCATGTTGAGGACACACTTTGCTTTTACTTCTTTTAGAAAAGCTTTATAATGTAGTTATCTTAATTTTCGTTTGAAAATTAATTTCTAAAAGAGTTTTGTCATTCAAACAGGGCCAATGACAGGTCGAGGTGTTGTTATGCTGCGGATCCCATGAAATTCAAAATTGGAACCTGGATTTAAACTTGCGATTTAATCTCGGGTTTTGTAGTAGGCTTTTTTCTAAAATAGCTTTTTATTTTGAAAGTTCTTTTGAAGGAAATCACATTAAACTAATTTTCTCTAATGACTCTTTTAATTAAAAGAAACACTTACATAAATTTAGCCAAACGTATTCAAAAGCAACTTTTGAGCCTTAAAAGCTCCTTTTAACTTTTTAATATCATGCCAAATGGCCCTGAGTCTTGTGTTGTACCATTAAATAACATCAGCACAAATGTACCATTGCCAAGAGTATTTTTGGTACATATAACATATACTTAAAGATTTTCCAAATTGTGGTGTGCCACCATCCATTGAGTTTGAATTTTAGATTATACAGAGAATACATACAAGTTATTCAATTTGTCAACCATTAGGAAAAAAGCCAACCTGATGTCATATTGCAGGCAGACCACTATTTAAACTTGATAATGACATTAAATATTAAAATCAGAAAAAAAATTCAAACCACAATTTTTTACCAAATGTTGGATACATAGTACCAGAGATTAAATAAGACAATAAACAAACGCTTAATTTCTTTTACTTCATTTATTATACATACTGTATCAAATTCTTTGTACCAAATATATTATCGATAGCTCAACATATATTCTGTATTTTCATTTTTCAAGATAATTTTATATGCTATATCCTAGAATTATCGGTACATAAATAACGGTACGATGTATTCTCATGGTATTGTTTCTCCTGCAGGCTTCACGTAGTAACAAGTATGGCACGCCACCATCCGTGGCGGTGGGAATGAAATAGGGATGTTTGGAAAGAAAAATAAAAAATATATTAATTAATTGTATTATCAATTTGTCAACCCTTAAGAAATGCCAGCACCCAACCAGATGGCAACCTGGCAGGCAGCTTCTTCAGGGTTCAACATTGTGATGGTGTGTGATTTGACTTGGTCTAATTGATCATTTCTTGAATTTAATAGCAGATTGATCGTGTCAATCCTCATATTTTTTTAGACACCTCGACCTTGCTTAGCTCACCAAGTAGGCCAACCAAATACATTTGACATATAGTGATTTGCAAGAAAAATGTGGATAAAGATATTTGTACAAAATGTGTTACACACTCTCACAAAAAAGTGGGTTTCGCGTGAATTTAAAAAATGTTGGCTTGTGGTCTCCATTCGTTATTGTGAGTAGTAAGTAAGGAATTTTGTAAAAAATGTTTGTACATATAGCATGGTCTGAAAAATATTGTATGTTTCGAAACATTTGATTAATTGTTCAACGGGGTTGTCATGATTTTAATACATTGAACAATAAATCAAGAGGTTCATAATCATCTAGACTAGTGATGATACTACTTATTTTGAATATCATATTCTATTATTTAATAGTCGTCTATGTTGTCTCTTGTTGTGTTATCGAAATCGAACTAGATCGGCAGGTTTAGTCTGAAAAAAAGGTGCAACTCCACCTACTACGGGCCTTCTTAAATTCCCATTTATTAAGCGGTGAATCCACGCTTCACCTGCCACATTTTGTCCACATTTTTAGGTACGAGGCCAAGAAAGCTTTCACTCTGCACGTGGGGGCATCTTGCCAATTTTCTTTAGGCGAATCTTTCAATGCAGCCCCCCTTCCATAGCTCAAGATGAATCACAACCCCGTTACATTTTCGTTTTTGTTTATAAGACCCTTTTTACATATAAATTATCTGTTTGTTTCTCATTTTTGAAAATATGAGAATGAAAAATATAGTCATTACGGACCTCACACAAGAGATAAAAATTCAAATTTGATGACTTGATGTGATAGATTCTTTTGACTAAGAAAAGTACAGGGGGAAATCCAGATTCTTTGAACTCCGATAACCTGGCCACGAACTCCATCAATACACATCAAGGATTTAAGCACAAGGTTAGCTCGATATATCGGCTAAATTGAATGAAATAAGAGCATAATACGCAAATAACTAATACAAATACAGATTTAAGAAGCCTCTGTCATTATTTAAATCGACAAACAGGATACTAAATCGAATTCATTACAGTAAAGCAGCAGCAGCCAACCATTATAATCTATTTTCATTTCCATAAAAAATGGCTCTCTCCGTCCTCCCCACTTCGCTAATAGATAAGAACTCATTCTTTCTTTTCAGCATTATCAGCAGCTGCAGCTTCCTTCTCAAGAACTGCTGAAGGGCCATCTTCAGCAGGCTTAGCAGCATCACCCTCAGTTGCCTCTACCGTTTGTCCTTCAGTCGCTCCATCACTCACTGGCACAGAACTTTTGACAGTGCCGACCTTGAAATATTTGCTCATAAACTTATATTCCCAATCTTGTAAGGCTTCGAGCTCAAACATACCTAGGCCAGTGAGATCACCGTTGAGATCTTTATCTTCAAAAGACATTTTCGCAAGGGCACGACTGGCATCCTTTCCTGCAAACAAGGCATAAGGTCCACCCGGTCCATAGAACATCCTGCAGACAACACACCAAAATGTCATAAAAGATTTTACGTAGAGATAATATAACTTGCTTTTAGAAGGTTCTACACTTGACCCCCAATCATTTCAAAGTTCAAAGACGAAAATTGCACTATTTTTTTGGGATATTCAAGCCACAATGGTATATTATGATGTGGTAGTCTTACAATATGATGTCAATGATCATTTAGAGCTACTTCCGCAAGTGCCACAGAAAGACGAGTCAGCAACAGCTAAGGTTCTCAAACCAGGCAGGGGCATATTTTATATGACATATTTTCTCACATCATCTTCTTAAAACAAATGCACAGAATAAATATTCAGATCTCAATAAAGAGATTGCTATCATCATAGATAAAAGAGAAAAATGTACATTAAATTGAAAGGGACTACCCAATTTCTTTAATTGCCAAGGAGCCCTTGGTCTAGCGGTAAAGAACAGATAAAAGGCCATCCCGAGGTCTCAAGTTTATATGCATCGGTTGCAGTATTGTTGAATACCCATTTTCAGTTTGGATTATGTCCTCCATCATTGTGTGAAGCCCCAAGTTGTGCGTATGAAGCAGGATGAAAAAAGGGGGAGAAAAGAACGCGGCCTATTTCATTGTTCAAACACATTTGTGTAATACAAGAACAACTTGATTAAAAAGAAGAACACTGTCATGTCGCCTTACCATTAGAGTTCGTATCATATCTACATAATTCCATAAAATGAAGTTGTTTGGCCGTTATATGTAGTGTTTTAAATGAATAATAAAACAATTAGCGAACTGAGAATTCTTTAGTCCTTACAGAAAAACCTAGTAATTTGTATTTCTGGAAACAGAAAACAAATGTCCCAAATTTCTTGAATCGAAGTAAAGTAAGTAATTAATCCAAGATTAACAAAGCATGAAAAGGGCAAAATCGAAAAATGGAATAAAGCAATAATTGAAAGCCAGAACCAGTTGTCAGTGGCCATAAAGGCCAGAATCAGGAAATCAGAAATGCACCCCCTTAAAGTGTCAATGTTTTAAAAATAACATCTTTCATAAATCATCAAAATTAACACAAAAAACTTGCAAATTCTTTCATAGCACCAAAAAATCGACAATCAAGAAAAAGAGCAGAATTCATCACATACACCTAAACAAAAAATTCACAAGATTAAAGAAAATATACCTGCTCCGTGAAACATCATAGATCTGACCCTTTATAGCCATGAGCAAAGGCTTTTCTGGATCAGACCCATCATAAAGTTTCAACTCTTCATCAGTGATTTCACCAAGTTGAACTGGAGGTGGAAGCGGCTCCATCTTCTCTTCAAACCCTCTTGACCTCAGACTTGGATGGTCATCACCAGACGACCTAAATAAACTGGACAGCGTGTAGTACACAGCAAGGCCAAGAGCAATAACTGTAAAGAAAGTAGCCGGAGAGAGACCTGTATATGCTGTGATTGATTCTTTGAAGGTATCCCACAGTTGAAGAGACATCGATTTAGGTGCGACGAGGTTGACGAGAGGATTTTTTTATTAAGTGAGAGGAACAGAGGAAGATGAGGTTGGCCGTTGGCGTTACAAACGACGTGCTTCTTGATTGTTTGCCTTTGTATGTCTACTCTACTCCGTAGGCCCCAAACCAAGGGACTGAAAAGTCATTTCATTGGACTACTTGACCGTTTCAATATTGGTATGGTAATTATATTACCACAACAAACACCACAATTTTTTTTTTATTTAGCCCTTGTTTGGTGCACATTATTAGGAAAAATAATATATTTTTTTTATCAAATCAGCCTACAATATTTGACTTCAACACTCTAAGGTAGGACCCATGATATAATGTTTAAAATGCATTTTTATTGGAAAAATGTGGAACAAACAACCCCTTACTTAAATAACTTTAAATAAAATTACATAAGTAGGTTTTTTATATATTTATCACATAAAATAATTTATTCTTTCATCACAATCATAAAACCTTTAAAAATTTATCTTCTTCCCCAATCCTTCCTCCAACCCGACCCTCAATGCTTCATCTTTCTATTAAGTTTGGCCATTAAAAAAAGAAATTAAATCTCTCTCATCGAAATTAAATTGATTCCAGGGAAGAATAACGGTTAAAAAATTATGTTTCAAGTCCGTACATGGATTGATGACCTTAGACACGTGAAACGGAGAAATTTCTTCAGCACCTTTTACTTCTATAGTAATTCCTTTGCCAACTAATAATCGTCTCAAACCATTATGCGAAGTGTTTCTCAGTAACATGAGTGAAAGTTGATCATCAATTCCAGTAACTCGAAGTTCAAAAGGGCCTTCAATTCTGAAACTATCGATGACAGCCTTTGACCCAACTCCCCTGACTAGAGACTCAAAAATTGATGTGTCATTCACCATTAGTCCCTCCAATTTCTTCCATTATGACACTTGGTCATACAACTTGAGTACAATTTCATTCTTTTTGACTGGAAACCGGAATTCATATATGTGCATTGACCCATATTTGGCTTTTCCCACATCCAATTTTGAGACCTGAATATCTTCCGATGCCCGTTTCTCTTTCTCCACTATAGCATCCAAAACACCCTTAACAAATTAGAGGGGTGTTGGAAAATATGTGGTTCGCTAAGCGAAGTGGATTTGGGGAAGAGGAAGTGGGAGACGTTAAAGGTGGGGTGGGGCATGGGAGATTAATGAGTGGATTAAAGGAAGGGTTGAAGAGGATGAGGAAAATGAGAATTAATGTTAGAATGATAAGTACACCACAATGTTACTGTATTTTTATTTTAGTTTTTATTAAATTAGGAGTATAATTATAAATTTATTGTGGTGTATTTATTAAAAATATATTTTATTTGTGGTGTGATTATAATGTGGTGTAGTTATTAAATTTTGTAGTGGTAATATAATTACCCATCAGATATTTTCCCATTTGGAAATAAAGCTATTCCATTTTCTTTTCTTTTCTTTTCCTTTAAAAAAAATGAAATAAAAAATCATTGGCCTTTTGAGAATTTAAGAGAAAATGGAAAAAAAAAATTAAAAATCTATTTGGAACATATACGGTCTTGAATATGTGGATCATTCCATATCATTATTATCATAAGGTGGAATCAAAGATGTCTTCTTCTTTAAAAATTATATAATCGAACGAAATTCTAAAATAATTATATATTTATATAATCAATCAAGTATATGTACATCTAATACTTATCTTGTTGCACTAATTAATCTTTTAAAGTCTAATAAAAATGATTGTATATACCCCATGTTGCTTATACTTTAATTTTACAACCTTTTCTTGCATATTAATCCCACATTCACAAGAAAACATATTTCAAAAAACCACTTCTTAAAATTCATTATCAAACAAGTGCTAGGTGAAAAAATGGTTGAACCAATGATACACGATGATCCACATAGATTGATTTTAATTCCATCGTGTTACACAACTTATGATCAATAGAAGTTTAACTTAAAATTAACTTTATTACTATATGTGCCACTTGATTGCTTTTATAAACGTGTAATATGTAATATAATTTGAAATAGAAAATCGTTGTATTATAAGGAAAAAAATGGAAAATGGAAGTATAAATTTGACCATCGCCTTAAACATTTATCACTTCAAAAGACGATCTCATGATGTTTTATTACGATAATCCAGTTCAAAATATGATCCCGCCGTATTGTACAGTTGTACGATCAATAGAACTTCAACTCAAAATTGACTCTCTCGATTTCTGTGCGACATGTTTTCTTTCATTAACACCTGTAATACACAGTATTATTCAAAATCGACGTACATTACATCACCAAAAAATAAAAATAAAAATAAAAATGAAAATGAAAATAGCCTAAAAAATATCACTTTAAAAGATGTGATCTAATAACATTTACCACGATAATCAGTTCTTATTTCCATGTCTAAGGCTCTAACAGTAGGATAAATGAATTTTTTAAATTACTAGTGGAGAATCGTGCTTTGCCCAATTCCTGTTATAATTTAAGAATTTTTATTTTATTTTATTTATTTATTTTTTGAAGGACTAAGAAATCTGTAAAAAGAATGATGACAGTTGCAGTTCAAAAAAACATTATAATCAATTTCCTCCACTTAATCTTGAAATTATACAAATGTAAAGATACCTACTTGAAAATTAAATCATTCAATTTCTTTACTATTTCCAACAGTAATTTACTACTAGTTGTTGATAATTAAATAAGGGTAAATCAGCAAAGTCATTAACATTAAATAAGATTTACAGAGTAAATCACTTCATCCGGATTCCATCCCTCTTGCGGAAGGGGAAGGCCATCATGCAACTTGACATTTGGTTCCTAGCCAAGACACTCCTTTGCCTTTGGTTATATCAGGTTTTCTCTGGAAAGGATCATCTAGAATATTCTTCACCGTAATGATTTTCACTTTTGGGTTAACCATCTTTACAGCCACAAACCATTTTGTTCCATGTCATACTTGAAAAAGAACAAGAGAGAGAGGAAAAGAAATTTGTATCGATGCACAATTTTGGAAATTGCCTCCTTCAGTCTCAACAAACTCAAAACGTTATAAATTTGCCTTTTAGTATAACCATGAGCCAGTTATCCTAACATTATTTGTTTCCAAACCAAAAGCAGGATCCTAGATTTTCTATACCCTTTCAATAGAAAAGAACAGCCAAACCGTCTTTACATCGAGCCATTGAAGCTACTGTCCCAATAAGAAGTTCATGAGACTTTCGTGTTCGTGCTCTTCAATGGAAAGGGGGGATCACCCTTTGGCATTTAGTCATTCCTTTCATTACAGAGGACTTTTTTGAGTGGTAAGCTTGGTTCGCTGCACAGGTGATGGTAATCTCTATCTCCCAAAGCGAAATTGAGGACATATGCCCAAAGATCGTACTATTGAAAGCCCAATTCATGAATATGTGAGGCACGACTGGCTCCGAGGAAAACACAGTACACTTTACCTTTCCCAGGAAACTAACAAGCAACATAAGCTTTATACTCAAAGAGATATAATGAACTTGATTTTAGCATTTTAGAACTATATTTTTTGTTAATAGCCTGTATTGCCAATGTTGATTGGCCTGGTACTTTTTTTGCCTTCCATTAGTAGAATTAGACCATCGACCTTCACATGTAAAAGAAATAAGAGTAAGACCGCCAAAGATAGTAACATGTATTATAGGGTTCAATTACCAAAATGATATAATACTCTTTTGTACCATGTCAGAGATGTAACAAAAGCTTCTTGTTTGTGTTCCAAGCAAGCGGACAGTCAAAAGGCTCATCACCGCATGCATGTGCAAAAAGGCAATAGTGTGAGAATTGAGAAGGTGAACTCTCGTTTTATTTGGTCACAAATTGCAATGTTCTCAGAAGTGGGCTTTGACTCTGGAAATAACAAAGGGCCAACAATTGAGATCAAAGGTATGCAGATGATAATAGCGTGACAATAAAATAATACCAAATCGCTTAAGCTATAAAATTGCTGACAACTAGACCAACATCAATATTCATGCAGGGTCCATAGGCGTTGAAGATCCATGCAAAACGTATTTCTGTTGTGGAGTTATCATTTCAACTTGTAAGAAATGCATCATATGTTTTCAATATTTTTGACACAATTGCAGAATCGGATGTCAAAAACCAATAACAACTATATGATTTATAGCAAAAGAAAGGGATTTTTACCAATTCCGTGCTGCCTACGATAATCAAACATCAAAGTTTCAGCAACTCTTTTTCCCTTATCATAATAGCTCCTTACACCAGCAATGCAAAGAAAATGCTATCATTATTTCTTTGAGTATGCTTCTCATCTGTTGCTTCAAACAATACATCGCACATTTAATAACAAAATGATGCATTTGATTATCATGCTTTTGCACAAAACAACTGACCAGATAATTTCAAGTATAGTGTAGTTAACAAGGTTTAACAAACTGTTGTCAACATTTCAGAAATGCCAAGGAATTGAATAAAAATTCAAGGGTATCAATTCTAGTAGTAATAGTAGTAGTAATGCTGGCTTGAAAGAGTTCCAATTGAGATATAACCATTGTAGAGTATTAGGGATCAACATATAGTGAGATAAGGAAATCTAAAACGTTACTTAACTTGTAATCAGAGTATTGATAGAAAAACAACTGTCAAGGATTGATAGCATGCCAGTTTATTACTTCTCCACACGATACCAGATCAGAGCGCAAATATTATCCAAACTCATTAGTACCCAAGTTATCAACATTCCATGCTCAAGCCAACCCAAAGTTGAAAATTGAAAGGAAAAAATAATTTTAAAAAAATACAGAAATTGCAAAATTTAGATAAAATAATATGATTCCTAATTATGAAACACTGATGAATGTTTGAGGGGAAGCAGAGTACACATTTTCCAACTATTTAAGCAAGTCATAGATCTTTTTTTCATTTTTATTCTTTCAGGTAAACGATTTTGCTCAAGATGAGTTGCAGTAAGATGGAATTTTTTCCTCTTTTGTTAATATTAAAAAAAATCACAACAAAGTTTTATGGAATTTTACAATTTAGCAGGAGTGATACATGAAAAATAGATCAATGTCAATTTGTGAGATAAGTTGGAAAAGAATGAACCCAACCAATTTATTACTGAGCCCAATTAGACGTATTTCCCAATCGGTCGGTTTTCCCCGTATCACGTAGAATATTCAGTTACGACACTATCAGAGGTATAACAATACCTATAGGGTTGATATTGCCGCAATAGGTTTCATCCTGAGCAGAAGATCTTATGGTGAGGAATGTTATCTCCTCTCATCTGTCAGATTATACACTCCCAATTAATTATGAGTGTGAGCAGAATATCTTCTGGTGAGGAAAGTGAACAAAATTAATCATTATCCAGAATACTTCAGAACTTCATAGAAGGGTTGCCTATGATAAAAAATGTACGTTGATAATGTCTGCCTGGGGCCATTGTTCATTATCTCCTTTCGAGTAGCTTCTTCTGTAGGCCACAAGGGCAATCTCAGATTTGGGTCATAAGAGAGTATGCTACCAGACTTGTTCGGAATGGCCATTGTAGCAAGCTGTGTAGGCCTACATGGTTCTTCAATCCAACTAATTGAACTGTAACAAAAGATGCTTGCCAGCATTAAATAAATAACGTGATCAAAGTAATATTAGCACATCTTCCGCTCGATCTTTAAATATAGTGGGCAACTGAAAGCTCACTTAATAAGGTCTATGTCAACATCTGACTCACAAAGAAACATGTCAACGCTAGGACTACAGAAGAACATGAATTCACGCTCACCATCAGCTATGAGAGTAACAAATGCACAGTGCAGTCCTTGCACAAGGATTAAACCTCACACCAGAATTGTTAACTTTGTTTTCTTTTAATATGTCAATACACATATGCCCGAACTCATCCGTGCCTACGTAAGAGATAAATGTCTGTATGTCTTTAAACCATAAACATAAATCATGTAATATATCAATTGACAATGTACTCATCCCACATAAAGCACAGGAGTCGCTGACAATATAAAGCAGAGCACTTTCTACCATGTTGAAAGGAAATAACAAAAGATCAAACAAATGGATTTATGACAATTTGAGAAAGAGAAATAGGGTCACAACATCAAAGCTACAAGGCAAAGAGCTTACTAATCATAGGCCACAAGCTAATATGGTCAAAAGTGTGACATCATCAAATCACATGTTGAAAAAACATGTACATCTACTGTCTACACATTATTTTCTCAATGCTATAGCACGTTTGAACAAAGCAAAGAGAATAGCAAAACATAAATGACAAAGAACAGAGATGTATGTCAGGCAAAACAAGTATTGATAGATGTTTTTTAAGGACCGAGAAAACAACAAAACATATGATAAGCCACCTATTCAGTTAACATACAGCAGACGCAAGAAAACCATAAGGGCAGAAAAGGAAAAACAAATCAAAGATACTCAACCAGCACATGGGAGGCTCTAAGGTCGTTAGCAAAGTGATTATGAAAGGGGATCTATAAAAGAGAGCCAGAGGAAAGAGAAAAGTCATGCAGAAATTGGGGGGGACGCATAGGAGAGCACTGGACCTCTCGAAAGTCCAAACTACTCGTTCATTATTTCCATTCCTTTAGTGTTGAATTCCTTTAAAGAGCAGTAACACTTGTTACAGTTTTCCTTTACATTTTATTGTATTTCTATTTTCCGTCGTGGAATATAAATCTTCTTTTTTCATATACTTGTGTTTGCCGAGTTTGCTGTGAGTTTTCATCCGCAAAACCAGTCACCAGTGTAGTAGTGTATCAAGTGGTATCAGAGCATTCACCTGGGGATGACGTTGACTGATCGTGTGGGGGTATTAGAGGAAAAGGTAGACAACTACCAGAGAAATATGGAGGAGCGAATGGAGGCGCTGCAGGTGGGATTGGATTCGATGAAAATTGAATTCCATAAGGTACAAAGCATAGAGAAAAACATGGCACTAATGATGGAGCAATTCCAATTTGTCATGAACCGTTGGGAAGATCAGGAGAGGGGTCGGAAGAAGAAGGCACCAGAAGAAGGGTCCCCTTCGGAGATGACCATGAATTCAACTATCGCACCAACAAGCGAAATCGGAATTAAGGAAGGTTGTGGGGGACAATGGCGCCTGGAATACCGAAACAAATGGCTGGAAATTCCTGTGTTCGAAGGGGAAAATCCAGAGGGATGGGTCTTCAAGGCGGAGAGGTATTTCAGCCTGACCCAGATCTCGGAAGTGGAGAAGTTAGAGGCGGCAGCCATCTGTTTTGAAGGAGAAGCGTTATCATGGTATCAATGGCAACTGAGGAGAAGAAGGTTAAAGAACTGGGAAGAATTAAAAGGGTTGCTGCTGGATCGCTTCCGCTCCACACAAGGAGGAACCGGCGAGGAGAAATTTTTGGCCCTCCGGCAGGAGGGTACAGTGAGGGAATACCGCCAGCAATTCGAGTTGCTGGCCGCCCCTTTGACCGAGATTTCTGATGCGTTGCTAGAGGGGCATTTTGTGAAGGAGTAAGGATTTCCAATGTTTCGGCCCACCAAAGTCATTTTAATCAGGCCCAACGTTTTAATTCCAATCCCGTTGCCCAGAATCCGTCTCCAGGCCATATGAACCCTCCCCGAAGCTACCAGGCGACCTCGTCGCCCCCAAACTCTCCCATGAACAGTGTTCTCAGGGCCGGATCCCCAGGTTCAAGACCGCCGGCCAATGGAAAAGCTTCGGCCCCAGCTTTTAAGTGGTTGACTGAGGCCAAATTGCAAGAAAAAAAGGAGAAGGGACTGTGTTTCAGATGCAATGAAAAATACAAGATTGGCCATCAGTGTAAGAATAAAGAGCTCCAAGTAATGATTATTTATGAGGATGAAATGGTGGAGATAGCGGAAGAGAGAGATGGCAGTCTACGAGGGATCGATCCAGCTGACCGGACCGTTCCAATGGGGGAGACGGTGGAACTCTCTATCAATTCGGTCGTGGGATTGACTCCTCCTCGCACGATGAAGGTAAAAGGGGTCATTCGAGGGCAGGAGGTGGTGGTATTGGTGGATTGTGGAGCTACACACAATTTTATATCGGCTGAATTGGTCCAGAAACTACAATTGCAGAGAGTCGAAACTTCGGGCTATGGAGTCATCATGGGTACGAGTTTCGCCGTACAAGGGGCAGACATGTGCAAGGGAGTAGTCCTCTCCATACAGAATCTGGAAATAATCGAAGACTTCCTACCCCTGGAGCTCGGTAGTTCGGACGTAATTCTGGGAATGAAGTGGCTGTCGACCTTGGGCAAAATGACAGTGGACTGGAATGAGTTGATTATGAGATTTCAGGCAGGGGAAAACACAGTGACATTACAGGGAGATCCCAGCCTAAGCAAAACATTGGTGGGATTAAAATCAATGATAAAGGCATTCCGAGAAAACGGAGAAGGCATATTACTGGAATTGGGGAGCATTTCTGTCGAGTTATGTGAAGTTAGACTGAAGGTACCCGGAGAATTAGAAGAGGTATTGGAGGATTATAAAAGAGTCCTCCAGGAACCGTGTGGGCTTCCCCCTAATCGGGAAAGGGATCATGCGATTGTGTTGCAACCAGGCACTACTCCAGTCAGCATTAGACCCTATCGATATCCTTATAGCCAAAAAAAAAAAGAGATTGAAAAGTTGCTGCGAGAAATGCTAGCAGCTGGAATAATCAGACCAAGCACCAATCCGTTCTCGAGTCCGATATTACTGGTGAAAAAGAAATATGGAGGTTGGCGATTTTGTGTAGACTATAGGGCATTGAATAAAGTGACAGTGCTGGACAAGTTTCTCATCCCAGTGATTGAGGAGCTGCTGGATGAGTTGCATGGGGCCACAGTATTCTCTAAGCTAGATTTGAAGGCAGGATATCACCAAATTTGTGTGACACCTGAGGACATTCCCAAGACAGCTTTTAGAACCCACGAGGGGCATTACGAATTTTTGGTTATGCCTTTTGGTTTAACTAATGCGCCCGCCACTTTCCAAGCCTTGATGAATGAAATTTTCAAGGGACAGTTAAGGAGGTCAGTACTCGTCTTTTTTTATGATATATTGATAGATAGCAAGAATATGACTGAGCATAAGGGGCATTTGAGGTAGGTTTTGAAAGTATTGGCAGAAAACCGATTGTACCTGAATGGGAAGAAGTGTATATTCGGACAAGGCGAAGTGGAGTACTTAGGGCATGTTATTTCTCAGCACGGTGTGGCAGCAGACTGTGAGAAAATTAAAGCAATGGTGGATTGGCCGAGCCCGAGGTCCCTTCGCGAACTAAGGGGGTTTCTTGGCCTTACAGGGTACTACAGAAGATTTGTGCGAGATTATGGAAAGATAGCATGGCCTCTAACCGAGAGGCTTAAAAAGAATAATTTCTATTGGGATGAAATTGTTGAACAGGCGTTTGTGCAGCTCAAAGAGAAAATGACTTCACTTCCTGTCCTGGCACTACCTAATTTTCAGAAGCCGTTTGTCGTCGAAATGGATGCTTCAGGATATGGATTGGGGGCCGTCCTTATGCAAGAAAGACGACCTATAGCTTTCTTTAGTCATGCTCTTAATCCGAGAAGCCAAGGGAAATCAGTATATGAGCGGGAGCTAATGGCCATCGTGCTTGCGGTGCAGAAATGGAGACCCTACCTGATGGGCCACCATTTCATCATACGAACTGATCAAAAAAGTTTGAAATTTTTGATGGAATAGAGGGTGGTATACCCAGATTATCAAAAGTGGCTTATGAAGCTGATGGGGTACTGGTTCGAAATCCAATATAGACCAGGTCTGGAAAATAAGGCAGCTAGCGCTCTCTCTCTCAATAATCACCAGCCGACTTTACTTGCTATGTCTATTCCTAAGATGGTTCAGTTGGAGCAATTGGCAAAGGAGGTAGCTGCTGATGAGGAGTTACAAGGAATAATCACGAAGTTGAGAAAGTATCCTTCTCCTTGGCCATGATAGTAGCATAGGGGCCACTCCGGGATGTTAAAAACATATAAGAGAATTGCCTCTAACGTCTATTGGGTAGGGATGAAGAAGGACATCAACCGTTACATCAAAAATTGGTCGACCTACCAACAAAATAAATATATGGCCCTGTCTCCAAGTGGTTTATTGCAGCCCCTAGCCATTCCAAATCAGGTATGGAAAGATATTTCCATGGATTTCCTGGAAGGGTTACCAAAGTCTAGAAACTGGGACTCCATTTTGGTAGTAGTGGACAGATTAAGCAAGTACGCACACTTTGTAGCTCTGAAACACCCCTTCTCGGCGGCTACTATTGCTGGGATTTTTGTGAAAGAGGTTGTTCGCCTCCGTGGGATCCCCTGCTCCATTGTATGTGACCGAGACACGATCTTCATGAGCAAGTTTTGGGAAGAATTATTCCGTTTACAAGGCACGAAACTTTGTCGAAGTACAGCTTATCACCCTCAATCAGATGGGCTTATCACCCTCAATCAGATGGGCAGTCAGAAGTGGTGAACCGCACCTTGGAAACATATCTACGCTATTTTGCTTCATCCCAACCAAGATCATGGGCAGTTTGGCTACCTTGGGCAGAGTTGTGGTACAAAACTTCCTACCATACGGCTTCCAAGTTGACTCCCTTTCAAGCATTATATGGGCGCGAATCTCCTCTGTTACTGAGGTTTGAAAAGGGCTCAACGCTGGTGTCTATGGTGGAACAACAATTACTGGAAAGAGATCACATGTTAGATGAATTACGAAGTCAACTACAGAGAGCTCAGTCACACATGAAACGAACCGCGGATTCCAAGAGGAGGGATGTCCAGTTTAGTGTGGGAGATTGGGTTTATCTTAAAATACGTCCTTATTGCCGCAAATCCCTGTCTTCGCGGCCGAATGAGAAACTAGCCCCAAGGTATTATGGGCCATATGCAGTTAAACGTAAGGTGGCAGCTATGGCGTATAAACTGTCACTACCCCCATCTTGCAACATACACCCAATCTTTCATGTGTCTCAGTCAAGGAGGGTGGAAAGGGAACCCCAAGTTGTCCTAGACATTCCGACACACTTGACTGAAGGTTTGGAGATGTTAGTTGAACCTGAAATGGTGCTGGGAGTTCGGCCAGGAACATGAAGTAATATCAGAGGCATTGATGTGTTAATACAGTGGAAGGGATTACCTCCGTTAGAGGCAACTTGGGAGCCTTACGACCTACTACAGCAACAGTTCCCGGAGTTTCACCTTGAGGACAAGGTGAGTTTCATGGGGGGAGTATTGATAAGCCACCTATTCAGTTAACATACAGACGCAAGAAAACCATAAGGGCAGAGAAGGAAAAACAAATCAAAGATACTCAACCAGCACATGGGAGGCTCTAAGGTCGTTAGCAAAGTGGTTATGAAAGGGGATCTATAAAAGAGAGCCAGAGGAAAGAGAAAAGTCATGCAGAAATTGGGTGAGACGCATAGGAGAGCACAGGACCTCTCGAAAGTCCAAACTACTCGTTCATCATTTCCATTCCTTTACTGTTGAATTCCTTTAAAGAACAGTAGCACTTGCTACAGTTTTCCTTTACATTTTATTGTATTTCTATTTTCTGTCGGGGAATATAGATCTTCTTTTTTCATATACTTGTGTTTGCCGAGTTTGCTGTGAGTTTTCATCCGCAAAACCAGTCACCAGTGTAGTAGTGTATCAACATACAGGCTAAATAGATTCAGAGAGCACAGGCCAGGCAAATCAAGTATTGATAGAAATAGAATGTGAAGGCTTATAACTCAAGTCGAGAGAACATACATGCTGCTTCGTGTCACAAACTGAATAACCTGCAAATAAGTTAGTGTGTCCATCCATGTTATCAAGACTTCAAGAACATACTAATCAAATACAAATGAGCAAAGAACAGAGATGTGAACAACGTACTTGTTTTACATCATATCACACGAATTCATGCCGATCAAAAGTGTTTCACAACAAACTCTGTTGTTATATAGTCAAAGCAACAAAAATTAGATAAAAAGGAAATGGAACAGAAATAAGGGGTTTGGTATGTTTAAAGGATCATTTAGCAGTTCGAATAAATCAAATAAAAGGAACCAGATCCCTAGATCAAATAAAAGCAAGAAACGATATTATCTCATAATTTTATTAATCGTGGTAAAAAAAGGAAGAAAAATCCATTCTAGGGTTTGTTCATCCAAAAAAAGAAAAAAAAATAACAAAAATCATTCACGATGAAGAATACAAACCAACAAAATCAATCATAGAGAAAACAAACAATGGATTTATTCGCGAAAAGTCGTCGCCCACATATGATTGCTGCTGGTGCTGCTGAAATTGGTGTGGATGCGACGGCTGTAGTAACATTTAAGTTGCTGGGTACAGAATAGGCGACGCCATTCTTGTCGACCTTAGGTTTCTTTGTGAGATCCATCAATGAAATTAGGAATTGGAAAGAAAACCTAGCAGAAGAAATAAAGAGATACGGTAACGGCTGCAGAATATGGACGGTTGTGTGTGGAATGCAGTAAAGAGACGAAATGGCTATGGCACGTAAAAATGGAGAAAAGAAACAAATCAATGACATCAAAATTAGTCTTAAGCCTGGAGACAAATAGAGGAAAAAATATAGAAATGGGACATATAAGTAATTGTAAAATCGACTTTGATCAAATAGAAGCACAGAGTCCACACTAAAATTTTTACATGGACCAGCAGTGATGAAATCTCGTAAAGCAAGCCCTTTGTGACCTACTACATAGGTGTTACATACCACTTTACCTGCTAACTTTGAGTACTCCAATGAGAGACAGTTGATTTGTAAAAGTGGTGTATTGAGAGTTGAGTTTAAGAATGATATGATACAGTCCATTTTATTTTTTATTTTTTGTTACAATTGAATTATACTTGGAGTTTATGATATCTTACCTGATTGTGGCACACCATTTGTAGTTACAGGTATAGCAACATTAATTAGCTTACCGTGTAAAGCCACAGGACATGAAAGCATGAGTTGCAAAAGAAATTCAATTGAAGTGATGTAAATATAGAACAACATGAAGTATCGCCGATTCAATTGAAATTCAGAGGAAGATTTCATTCAGAAGAAGGGGATAAAGCACTGTCGATTCAATTCTATGGTCTAGCCTTAGACGAAAAAAGAACAACAAACAAAAATTATTCACTATAGAGAATACAAAAGCTAATAATAAACAGTATCCGATTTGCCAGCTTTTTCATTTTTGTTTTTCATTAAGTCTACATGTCAAATAAATTGCTTCATTAGCTGCAAAGAAAACTTGCTGAATTTGATCCATGGTTCTCAAAGACCTTCGAAAATCCAAATAATATGTTCCCTTTTGACTGTTTCAAGCATATAAGCTATCTTTCTCCTCTAAACCTGATTGATTCAAGCGTTTATATCACAAATCATACCGTAGACAATTGTTCCAAAAAACATTGATTAGGATGTCGAAACTATGAAAAAATTACTGAAGAAGCTATCAAAGTTTGAAGCACAGAACCCAACTAAATGGAGACTAAAAGAATGGTCAGGAATTGTTTATAATTTGATTAGCTCCTACAAAATATGTAGAGGAATAGTAGTTTCACCAAAAGTATTTTATAATTTGAACACCTGCCAAACAAGGGCAGAGACATTAAATGTAAGAGAACATGTATGTAGCTTGGATGGATACAAGAAGCAAAGCCGGTTGCAGCCGAAGAACAAGAGGAAAAGGAAATAATAAGTTTTTTTAGGCTGAAAACATCTTCACCATATAAAGAAAGCAACATAATATGACTCACAATCTAAAAAAACTAGAAATCGCTTCAAATATAGAGATTTATCGAGACAAATTCAGTTGATTTATATTCCATATAAAATGAATCAAGAAGTTCCTCAAATTGGTTTTGGACTTTCGACAGAATATTTACTGTTGTGATATGGCCCACCAAACAGCTAATGGTATTCAAATATGTACGGAATGCAGAAGTAAAATAAATATGTTGCACAAAAAAAAAAACAAAATATAAAAAATGACAGAATACAGTTACCTTACCAGAGATACCAATCAAGCTACTATGCCACCATGCTCCTATCCAATCATTTTGAGGACTGGTGTCATTGCTAGATTTGAAGGAGATAAATGAAAAAGCATCATGGTGAGTAATAACAAACTATATACATTATTGTCTGGTCAATAATTGCATTTGGAGAGTAAATAAAGTCATTTGAAACTATAGAGGAAATCTAAATTCTAGCACTGGAAGAAAGTTTTCAATCACGATAATGTATTTTAAGAATGTTACCGGTAGTCAACTATAAGAGATATGGCTATGGACCATAAAACTCTTTAATGTGTTTTAGTGGGAAACAAAAAAATGTTAGGCTTCATTTGAATAAGATGTCTTATTTCATGCTAACTGGCTGAAAAATTGCAGATGACTGAGTCAATCATCAAATATGTGCAAAATTGCCACTTTGGAAATTTTATTATGTAAACACATCATTTGACCTTTAGGCACCGTTTGATTGGCAAAACATTTCCATGGAAAATAGAATTTGGGTGGCATTTTCCAACTTTGGTGTGTTTGATAGGGGTTTATTTTCCATGGAATAGAAATTTTTGGATTTCTTGGGAGCTGCACTTTTCTTGCTTTGGCGGGAATTGATTTTCCCAGTTACTGTTGACGTTTTCCCTTTTTTTTAACAATGGAAATAAATTTTAAAATTATTGTAAAAAAATATTTCCCTTTAATTGACAATTTTTATGTAAAACAAAACTAAATGGACACCAAAAGAAAGATGAATTTTTTTTTTTTTTTTTATCAATGGAAACAAATTTTATTCTCAATACCAGTAAATTCTATCCCTTTAATTGACAATTTTCATGTAAAACAAAATCAAACGAACACCAAAAAATACTTTTATTTCAACATTTTCCACGTGAAAAATTATACCAATCAAATACAATAATTTACAATTCCCAGGAAAACAATTTCTAGGTAATTCAATTTCCTGTAATTCGTTTTCTTTCCATCCAAATTCTATCTTTACAATCAAACAGACCCTTAATGAAAAAACAATAAATTTTCACTCTATTGTAAGTGTAATAATTAATAATCAAGGGAGCTAAAGTAGCAACATAGAACTTCTATTTGAGCAATTGAATTTATGGCCTTACTCATAGATTTTAGTCATTCTGTGTCTTCAAGAATAGTACTTAACATCAATGTGGAGGAACCGGAGTTGATAATTAACAAAACTAAATGGCCACATATCATATCAGAATTATTAAAAAATCAGCATGATATCACAAGCCAAATCAGACCAAAATTAGCAGCCATAGTACATTAGACAGGGAACACCCCCCCACTGAAGAAGGGGATAAAAAACTCGAAAAGTTATATGTTGGATGTAATGAAGTAGGAGCATGTACGGCTAAGCTTTAAAAAATTAACACAAGTTATAGGTCGGATGTAATGAAGTATGAGCATGCACACTAATTTAAAATTGCAAACGCGTCAAAATTATCAATAACTGAAGACAGAGCTAAATGGATGACTATACCAAGTGTTGGGGAGTTTATCGAAAATGCTATCAGCTAAAGACACAGCCATGAGCATGACTATACCAAGTGTTGGGGAGTTTATCGAAAATGCTATCAGCTAAAGACACAGCCATGAGCATCGGGCAGCCAAGCTGCATACACCACCTGAAGGTGCAATGGGGACATCATGACCAGAAGATGCTGCATTTTTGTACTCCAGAAAGAGTTAAATACCATAACCAACAAGTGCCAGACCACAAGTGTTAAGAAGAAGTTCAGGAGCTTCAATAATCACTATCATCACTAGAAGATGCTGCATTTTTTGTACTCAACAAAGAGTTAAATACCATAACCAACGAGTGCCAAACCCACAAATGTTAACAAGAAGTTCAGGAGCTTCAATAAGCACTCCTAGAAACCCCCTACATACCATTCTCTGCAATCACTATTATACATTTCCTTTCTTCACCACGGCTATGTGAGATCTCTCTCCACTTCCTACAACATAAACCTACCAGTTAATTCATCATAAATAAATCGATTTTCCTAAAACAAAGTGAAAGTCCTTAAATATGTATCGTTTAATTCGAAAAGTAGAAGCATTTCCACACAAATAAATAAATATCACAAAACTATCAAGATTTGAAAATGACAGATTTTCTCCCAAGTTCTTCCAAAAATCCTTTTTGTCAGCAACCCAAAATAAAGTAATAATACTAATAAATCAGGGCTCAATAACAACAATTATACAATTCAATGGCTCAATCGGCGACTTACAAGCAATGCATCGAATGTTTAATAGAAAAATAAAGACCAAAGTACAAAAAATACCTTTAAGAGAATAAGAAGCATATGAAAATATTAAAATAAGAAGAGCAAAAGCCAGGGGTAAAAATTACATGGAAGCGAATCACATTTGCAAATTTAAGTCTACTCTTCCTCAGCAAATTCACCGCTCCTCTTGTTGTACTTCCTTGCATGCCTCTGGTTCCTCAAAAACTTTGGGTTCATCCGTTTAGAATTCCACACACAAAAATAAGGAAAATTTATCATAAATCCACAAATATACAAGAAATCATGGTGTTTTAGCCATTTTCTTCTCTACATCGAAGCCTGCGATGTATAAATGAGAGGATAAGTGGAGAATGGAGTAAATAATGAGATATAGAAGGTAGGGTGCACAAATGGAAAAGAAAAAGACACTTCGCATGAGGTAAAAAAAAAATTTTAAATGAGAAAAATGATGTAAGCATGACGCCTTATGAGCAGTAATGAACTCTCTTCTTTTATAAATTGTAGGGAATTGTATATTTTGATTCCATTTATATGTTAGAGAACTCCCATTGCAAATTCCTGACAAAAAGTAAGCATCCTCTTGACCTTGATCATATTTGCTTCTCCTTTTTCTCTCAGTGGTTGACCTGAAAGGATACTGGAATTCAAGAAAAGAAGAGTTCAAACAAAGAAACCAAATTCCCGTAGTTCAAGGCCTATGAAAGTAGAGACGAGGGAAGACGAAGGAAATTAATCAGAAGTGGTTCCTATTGATGATAGAAGTACAAAATAACCATCAGCCAATATAAGCTGTTCCTTTTCAATGCAAACTTTAAATAGAATATGTGGGTAAAGTTCTCTGTTACATGTAATATCGGTAGTAACATGAAATAGGATACCTGCAGAATACATTTGTTCGAACATAAGTTTTATACCTTGCACCTATCAATCTGAATTTTAGAACTTAATACCCTCTCAGAGGAAGTGAGACGCTGACAGAGAATTGCATGTTTGGTTCATTGTTAGAGGCTGAAGTATGACTTGAACTGCGAACCCCGGTAATCTGGATCGCCAGGAAACCAGGACAATGAATTGGGGTCTGAGCTCGAGTTTGTGATTTGGCTAGGAAATTCTGAAGTTGAAGAAAAGGTGCCTGCCATCCTTGTGTCAGGAGTATTAGTCTCTGAACTTGGAGCAATGCTCAATATCTCGGGCCTTCGGAGGTTATTGAAATGCCCAAAGTGGACCGACGATGAAGAAAAATACAAGCTTGGGTTATTTGAAACAGAGGCACCAGGAAATTGTGACAACGAATTGGGGGCCAAGTTTGAACTCATGATTTTGCTAGGAAATTCAGGAGTTGAAGAGAAGGTGAGCGCAGGAAACCGTGAGAATGAATTGGAAGGCAAGTTTGAACTCATGATTTGGCTATGAAATTCAGAAGTTGAAAAGAAGGTGCCTGCCATCCTTGAGTCAGCAATATTAGACTCTGATCTTGGAGGAATGCTCGAGAACTCAGTAATTGGAAAGTTATTGTAATGCCCAAAGTGGACCAAGGAAGAAGGAAAATACGAGCTTTGGTTTTTTAAAATGGAGGCTTGAGCTTCTGGAAGCATAAAAACAGATGGGCCAAAAAAGCAAGACGTCTGGCCTGAAATATTGGGTCGAACTGCTGGTGGAACAGAGTGAATTGGATGATTGCCCAGATGCGAGGGTCCTAGAACAGGTTTCTGCCCGGCTACTCTTACTGCCAACATCTTGCCTTCCATTTTGTATCCATTCATGTGTAACACTGCTGCATTGGCATCCACAGGATTTTCAAATTTAACAAAACCATATCCTTTGCTTAAACCAGTAGTTCGATCTTTAATCACCCTTGTTTGTACAATTTTCCCAAAGGGCGAAAACAGCTCCTTCAACCGATTATCATCGACTGTCTGGGGTAAGTATCCAACATAGAGATCTGCATCATCCATCTGTTTGCTTGATTTCCCATTAGACCCAATCCCAACTCCATAAGAGCCTTGCAGAGGCAGGCACATCTGAGATGCCATAGACAAGCTACATTCAGACGATAGATGGCTAAAGCTTCCACAAATATCACAAACCATGGCCTTAAAAGTTGATTCTCGACGAGGGCAAGCATATTGTTGGTGCCCTTGTTCCTTGCACAAATTGCATATATTCTTATCTTCACACGTTCCTCTCAATTCTGGAACTGCAATTCCTCTCAGTTTTGCAAGCTCTTGCAATTGCGCTCTCTTGTGATTGTTCATCTCATCAGCCACAGGAACCAGCAATTTCTTAACCATTTCCACAGCAGCATCCAGTGATTGTTGATTATCAGCCTCCACAAGAACGTGCAAGTCTTCATCATCTGGTGGATCAGGCTTCTTATTCATGGAGCCTTTACCTCTTAAACGAATCTTTGCTCCAGTTTTCTTTTCCATTTCCTTTTGTGTATTTCCCCTTGGACCAATAATAAGACCAATAAAGTTATAATCTGGATTCTCTTTCACCGGAACATAAATTTTCTCAACGAGCTTGGCAGGAGCTCTAAAATTTAAGCCAGTTTTAGCTAATTTTGATATAATATGTTTCTGTTGGGCTCTAAGTTTTTTCCTGAGTCTCGCTTCACGAGTATTTATTCTCATGCCAAGGTTATTGTATTCAGGTTCGGGAGAAGGAGATCTTTCTTCTGCAGGCCTGTTATCATGTATCTCTGAACTTTGCAGCTTGCTGTTTATCTCCATAAGTTGCATCTTCAAGCTAATTGTCTTCGGATCCATCTCATGCTCTAAGGAATACATGAAGTCTGGTAGCTTAAATGTGCCAAGCAACGGAGAATCATCCCACCTTGTTTTCCTTTTTTTACTAGTTCCATCACTCTGATCAGTTTGTTTTTCTTGTACCGGACACCACCGACTACGCCATTTTCTGCCAGAACTTCCACCAGGGTCCTGTGTTTCAGGAGCATTGCTCACTGAATACGGATTAGAAACATTTGCTTCAGAGGAAAACAGATTTTGATCCTCAATTGGTTTAGCTACATCATTATTGACGCACAATACTGATGAAGTTACAGATTTCAAACTTGACTTGGTTTCATCATTCAATTCCTCTTTGCAATCACTTTCAGGTTCCTTACTGTCAATGCTACTGCTCGTTGCATCTTCATCAGATTCCTCATATAATTCTTCTGCTGGATCTTCTTCAGGATCCTCATCTAACTCTTCCTCTGATACTTCCTCCTCGTCTTGATCATCTTCAGGATCCTCATCTAATTCGTCCTCTGAAACTTCTTTCACTTCATCATCTATTTCCTCTTCTGAACCTTCTTCAGGTTCTTTTTCTGATAATTTAATTACGACATTTTTCTTTTTACACTTGGAAACATGCACAGATTCAGTTGACCGCATTCTACTGATTACAAATAGCAGCAAGTGGTATTATGTTAGTAAACTAGCTCCACTGACTGCATAACATGAGAAAGCTACATCAATGAAAAGAAGGAGCTCTTCAAGGTTTAATCATAGATTGACTTCTATTAGTCATGTATTTTTACCTCACAAGTACAGGAAACGAATACCTAAGTGAACTATACTACTAGGAGAGGTTCCTTCATTACTTGAATTGATTCTAGATGACAATTTACAATTCTAAAGCTCAGCAAATTTCCACCACACACCAAGGCAACTCCAATACAACCAAAAATTTTAATCATTTATTAAGTCTTCAAATTCTGCATTCAAACAAATAAATAGGGGTTTAATCCCCATAAGTGCATAGTTTCATAATCCAATATCAATAACAATAACATTGATTTATTTTTTTCTATTGCAATTATAAGCACCAAGTTGAAAATATTCTTTCACTTAATCAATTCCCTCTGAAACTAAAAATCAGTAACAACATTTTCACGAGCATTGTTGAAATTGAACTCGTAGCTTCTCAACCCAGTTTCAGAAATAATTTCCGGACACACGGAATCGAAAATCTCCATCATAAAACGTGTCCGGAGAACAGCCACAAACAAATTACAGACATAAAAATGAAAAACTTTCACGGATCTTAATTGCACTCCATTAGCACGTATCATACCATTATTATATAACAGAAGGGAATCGCATTTGGGTTCACGAATAATTCTTTCAGGTCGAAGTATTTGATCAGCAAATTCACTCGTATCCTACGCAATTCAAGAATTGAATAACAGGGGACAACCACAAACAAAATTTTTGAAAAAGCTGCGGATTTGTGCTGAAAGATGGAGAGAGGTGCATCAAACCTGAATAAGGCGAAGCGAAAATTCGGCGACGGTCGGGAGTGAAGCCTGTGAGTAGACCGAAATTCTCTTCCATTTTCTCTTTGAAAATATATAATCATTCAGTCAAGCTTATCTATGACCGATCCACGTTGGATGGAGTCGAGATGGACCACAGAGAAATGAGATTAGCCCACCAAAAGTCTCGGGTCGGCCCAACTTGGGAAAGTAATGGGGGAACTTTGGCCCAGTACGGCCCCAAAGTAATAAAATTTAATAATGTACTTAATTAATATTTTTTCCTATAATCCTTTAAATTGACCATAATCAATACGCTAAAAAACGCACAAATTTGATGAAGCAGGCGTTCCATAAAAATCACCATTGATTAACAGCGCCACCACCATTACAGTGTCGAATCATGGGTGAAGAAAACACTGGCACCGATATAGACTCAAATTATGGGTGAAGAAAACCCCAACACCATTCTGACTTTGTTTAGGTTTGTTCGTTCTTTGAATGTGTGTTGTGTGTAATATGAATTTTCATAATATATCCTAATTGAAAATACAAATCGAGAAAACACTCAATGTGCAACCACTCCAAAGACCATAACCAATAAAACAGAAGCAAAAATCACCCTCCAAATTATCATCTTTTCAATATCAGAATTCAATTTCCATAGCACGAAGAATTGATCCAGTACATGAGGAACTTGTTCATTCAAAGTTTGGATTGGAATGTTAGCTAGGCAAGTGATGTAGGACATAATGAGGAAAATGTACTATTAGAGAGAAAACATCCTAACTCTAGATTGGGCCTATAAGACCATTTCGAAAAGGAGAATGACGAGAGGAACAATACTCACAATTTAGTGATGTATGATGAATTTTGGTCATTCGAGTTTGTTTAGGACTCGAAAACTTATTTTTAAAATTTTGGCGCTATTTTTGTCATTTCGTTTATTTTGGATTTTTTGCAATTTTAGTTTGTTTAAATTTTATTTTCATTACTTTTAGTCGTTTTAAACTACATTTCCGTATAAATCCTTATAAATAAAGGGTTAGTTCATTTTTTTTTATTATCATTCATTAATAAAATTCATAAGTTTATTTTCTTCATAATTTGGTGGATTCCAAATTTATTGTTCTTAAAGTTTTTGTTTGAATTCCTTATTTTGCGTTGTCAGAAAGAAAAGCATGAGATCAATTCTGTTCGCTTTATTTGGTTGGTATAATCGGATTAATTTTCAAATCATTGAGATTGTGTTTCGACTTCAGTTATTTGTGTATTGAGTTTTAGCATTTCCACTGTTAGAAATATGTTACAGCAAATTTAGAATATTCAAGCTCATGTCTAGGATGTTAATTAGTTAGTGATTAACCTGTTAATTAGCAAATTAGTCAGTTAATTACTCATCTTTTTTCTCTATAAATGGAGTCATTGTATTCATTAATAAATCATTGGATTGTGGAATTCGAATCCCTCCTTTCATGGAGGTTTCTTCTCCTCCAATCATGGAGTGCCTCTTTCTTCTGCTTTATGGACTTTAATTTCATTCAATAAATTCTAATACGGTATCAGAGCCTCAAAAATCCTGACATACCTTCACCCAAAATCCTCATGGCTTCTGATGCTCCTGCTTCCCAAACTTCTTCCCCCTATCTTCTACACCCTTCTGATCCTCCTTCTCCGGCCGCTAATTTCGTGGGTAACTCCTCCACGATGCCTTGCTCCTTCAACCCACAAAAGGACTAGATCATTGACAGTGGCGCTAGTGATCACATGATCCATTATCGATCCTCCTTCTCTAATCTAAATTTGTCTCCCATTGCTCGTACAGTGAGGCTACCCACGGGAGAAACTATTCCTGTTGAAGGAATTGGTTCTGTGCTTTTATCTGACCATTTAATTCTTCAAAATGTCCTTTATGTCCCCTCATTTTATTAGAATCTTCTCTTTATCCCTCAACTTACCTTGTGTTGTTTTTTTTCATCTGATAAATGTTTTTTTCAGGACCCTCCATCGAAGAGGCTGATTGGAGCGGGTGAGGCATGTAATGGGCTCTACCTCTTTCGCTCCCATGAGACCGTCGCATTCTCTGTTCGTCATCTTGATAATAAGACACTGTGGCATCAACGCCTAGGTCATCCTTCTAACTTTACTATTCCCACAATTTTTGATGATCCATGCACTCTATCTCATTGTGATGTTTGTGAGCGTTCAAAGCACACTCGTTTACCTTTTCAAATTCATGCTAATAAAAGTTCGAAACCATTCAATCTTCTTTATTGTGATATTTGGGGGTGGCTATTCTACCGCCTCCATTTGTGGCGCATATTATTTCTTAACTATTGTTGATTATTTTTCACGCACTACATGGATTTATTTAATGCGTTTTAAATCAGAAACCTTTAGTCACTTAATGCATTTCTTCGCTCTTATTAAAAATCAATTCAACTCGTCGGTTAAAATAATTCGCACCGACAATGGACAAGAGTTCGTTTCACATAACCTCCAAACCTATTTTCACACTCACGACATCATCCATGAGTGTACTTGTGTTGAAACTCCGCAACAAAATGGCGTTGCAGAGCGTAAACATAGGCACCTCCTGAATGTTGCTCGCAGCATTCGCTTTCAAGCAAACCTACCACTCAAATTTTGGGGAGATTGTGTTCTTACTGTTGCTTATCTAATCAATAGAACCCCAAGCCGCTCCCTACAAAATCAAACTCCTTTCCAACTTCTTCTTAACACCCCCCATCATACACTCACCTACGTGTGTTTGGTTGCCTTTGCTACGCTCAAACCCTCATCGCTTATCACAACAAATTCTCACCCAGATCATCTCGTTGTGTCTTCATTGGTTTCCCTAGCAACCGCAAGGCTTACAGGCTATACAACCTTGACACCAACACCATTTTTTACTCACGCGACGTCACCTTCCACGAAAATCAATTTCCCTTCCATCACATCACACCCCCTCCTCTTAATGACTCCACCATCGTTCCCTTACCTATCACCGAACCCATATCTCCTTTCCCTTCCTCGACCATACCCCAAGAACCCCCACCCACCGCCACTATTCCTTCCCGACCTCGTCGCCACACTACTCGTCCAGCATATCTCCTTGATTATGTCTGTCCTACTATCCCTGTGGAGTTCATTGCCTCCTCAACCGCTGCACAGTCCTCAGGTACTTCCCACCCCTTATGCACTTATCTGTCATACTCTCGTTTTTCTCATGCTCATTATTCATTCTTAACTGCTCTTACTGCTTCTGTTGAACCGACTTGTTACTCAGAAGCAAATCGCCACTCTCATTGGCATGAAGCTATGGCCTCTGAACTTCGTGCCCTTGAAAAAAATTTCACTTGGACACTAGAAACCCTCCCTCCTGGCAAGAAACCCATCGGTTGTAAGTGGGTATACAAGACCAAACTCCGAGCAGATGGCACTATTAAATGATACAAGGCCCGACTTGTAGCCAAAGGCTACACTCAATTAGAGGGAACTAACTATCATGAAACTTTTGCCCCAGTTGCCAAAATGACCACAATACGATGTGTCCTTACTGTTGCCGCCACCAAAAATTGGGTCATCCACCAAATGGATGTCCATAATGCCTTCCTGCACGGTAAACTTAATGAGGAAATTTACATGATCCCACCACCCGGCTACTGTGTTAAAGGGGAGACACAAGTCTGCCGCCTTCGAAAGTCACTCTATGGTCTCAAACAAGCTTCCCGGAACTGGTTTTTTAAACTAACATTTGTTCTTCTTAATGCAGGTTTTGTTTAGTCACAAGCAGACCACTCCCTATTTACCTTGATCACTGCAACCAGTCTCACTATTATCCTTGTTTACGTTGATGATATCTTGGTTGTTGGCAATGATCTTTCTCAGGTTATCTTCTTCAAAAGCGTTCTTTCCAGCAACTTCAAAACCAAGGATCTCGGCCCTCTCAAATATTTTCTTGGCCTTGAAGTTGCATGATCTCCCTCTGGCATTTTTCTTAATCAACGAAAATATGCCCTGGACATCCTCGCCGACAGTGGCCAGCTTGGTTCTCGTCCTGCACCTTTTCCTATGGAACAAAATCTGAAACTCAATGAGACAGATGGTAACCTTCTTCTTGATCCCGCTTCTTACCGACGGCTAGTGGGACGCCTCATTTACCTCACCATCACCAGACCTGATATCGTCTTTGCAGTAAACATTCTTAGCCAATTCATGCATGCACCTCGAACCCCTCACATGACAGCTGCAAACACGTGTCCTCCGCTACATTAAAGGGACTCCTGGACAAGGCATTTTTTTCTCTTCCTCTAATAATCTTCATGTTCGTGCCTACACAGATTCTGATTGAGCCAGTTGTCCTACCATTCGACGCTCTACCACTGGCTTCTTCATCACACTTGGTTCCAGTCCCATTTCTTGGCGCACTAGCTCGCTCCTCTACAGAAGCTGAATATCGTGATATGACTGTCACAACATGTGAACTAATTTCGTTGAAACAGCTTCTCCATGACATTGGCATCTCACACAATGACCCAATGACCCTCTACTGTGAGAATCAGTCCGCCCTTCACATTGCTCAGAATCCAGTTTTCCATGAACGAACAAAGCATATTGAGATAGACTGCCACATCGTTCGTAACAAACTTCGTTCTGGTCTCTTCACCACTGCTCATCTTCCATTTGCCGAGCAGATTGTCGACATCTTCACTGAAGCATTAGGATCTGATCTCTTTCATCACTTCTCTCGCAGTTGGGCATTACGGATCTTCATGCACCAACTTGAGGGGGCGTATTATAGCACATAAAAATCCCACAAGTTTAGCTCCCATGATTTCAGTATTACAGCATATAGAAATCCCACAACTTTAGCTCCCATGATTTCAGTATTACAACCTATAGAAATCCTACAAGTTTAGCTAAACTTTAGCTCCCATGATTTTAGTCATCTCCCAGAATTTTGTATAGATGATTTTATTTCCATGTAAACCATGTCCATATACAGCTATATAAAGCATACTGATCAATGAGAAATACAAGATAATTGTTTCTACCATTTTACTTCTTTACATGGTATCAGAGCAG